GCCTCCTTGGACAATTCTATTTCAATCAGGAAAGAGGAGATGAAAAATTACTCCCAGTGAGAAAATGAAGGACAAACACAATCTCAATATTAAAACAAGGTTGATAAAAATCTCCCTGCCTTTGTCCTACCAGCTATGTTTTATGTCTCAGAAAAATGGGCACATACCACATAATAAATTTCAGAACCGCATAGATAAAAATCGAGAGTGCAGCCTGAAAGTAGCTTTGTTCTATTATCAAGAGTTGCAAAATCATCCCTTATCATTATTGGCACACATCTATAACCTCCCCTCAAATATTAATAACTCCAGTCTTTCCAGACCTCTGCAGTGCAGGCACAATTAATCCCTATTTAACAAGATGGGGAAACTTCTTAATGGGGATCAGCACTGGAAACTGTGGTATGGAAGACAAACAGAAGAAAACAAAGGTGTTCTTTAAAGGCCAGGCACACATCAATGTTGGGATGAAGTTTAGCAATATCAGGACAAAGTTTTAATTTATATCAAACCCATTTTCACAATGGTGATGAACTTCATTATTAATGGAAATGGTCCAAAACCAAAACATAACTTTCACAGGAACATCAGGACTGTAGATCAATGGAAGAAATGCTGAGCTCCAAACTTACCTATTCTCCCCCCACATGCTGTACAATGTACTACCTCTCCCAAAACGCCTCATCGCTCATAACTAACGTGGAATACGATCTCCAGATTATGGGCTATGGTGTCCCCAAAAATAACAGCTCCCAAAGTGAAGGCAATCTTGCTACTAGTAAAAATCCATTTTTACACAATGATATTCGTAGAAAGATGAAGCATATATTCATTGCCTTTTAATTTCCATTGCAGAGTTAACAGTTCAAACAACACATTAGCATTCCAGCAGCCTGTCTGCTCCCTATTTATATCCACCTGCCATTCAATTAATAACTCATTAAGTTGCACACCTGCAACACACCTAATCTCTGGTCCCAACATTCACCTTACACTACAGGTGTTGGCCAATGAGCCCAGTTAGCAACATTCTGTGGAAAACAAGACAGCAAAGAAGTTTGATTGGTGTTCTGTAGCTTGTACAAACGTGTAAGCTACGGCAAGGTCCCATTCTACTAGCCATAGCATCTCTGGTTCACAGCATTCCCATAATTCTGTAATTTGGATCAATATTTAAAAACAACAGGTTATGAGTTTTTAAACTTGTTCAAATAAGAGTACTTATTCACTTACCACAAATTTACTTAAAAATAAAAATCACTATGAAGAGGCTTAATAAATATACATACAATAGTGAGAGAAATTTCCCTTGCAATGGAAACAGAAACCACGTGAGATTCGACACGTCCAGCAGCCTTCACTTTTCATTGCATTTGAGCAACTGCTGACCTACCGCTAATTTAATATCACGACTCTAAGCATACATCTCATTGGAATGAATACAGAGAGACATTACAAAGCATCTGGTGCCGTGCCCTCACCTCCTGCCCAGTGCTGAGACCCCGAGCAGCGCTGCCTGCACAGTGCCCCCATTACTGGAAGCAGGGTGGTGGCAGGTCTTGCTCTCCTCCCAGCATGGCGCTGCAGCAGAGCAGAACCACCCAGTTCAGCGAGGGTCTCATTTTTATTGCTATCAGTTCAATTCATTGCAAACACGTTCTGATTCACCTCAAAAAAATATTATGTGATACCAAAAAAAAGTGCTTTACAAAACCATGTCAGTAAAGCAGCTTGCAAAATATACCATGCTTAAACACACTGATTCAATGTTTTAGTTGATGTACTCCAATGAGTCCTCAATATCTGTATGTTTAAAAAGTGTGGTCCTTTTTAATGCTTGTTTTTACATTAACATGTCATTTTCTTTTTTTGTTCAGTTGATACCACCTACACTTTCTAGGAACCTACAAAGGCAGAGAGGATTGCAAATAAATATTAAAAAAACCCACTACAATTAGCACTAAAATACTCTTGTAATCATGTACTAAAAGATGTATTAAAAGATGAGTACTAGAACTGCAAAGTGCTAAACAAAATTATGGCTCAAGCTTCTCTAGGAAATACAAAGTAGACTGGACTTCAATTCACATTAAAATAAGGCTTATTGTCAGAATGAAAAATAGAATCCCCCATCTCTCTCCTCTTGTCAACTTGAAAATCAAGGACAACATCAAAGGTTTCAGCAGAGAAAAGCAACAGCTAGTTAGGGAAAGTCAGGCAGAAGCAAGCCACGAAAACCTAAACCAAAACAAAGCCCACCCACCCCAACCCCAGCCAAAAAAAGTGGGAAGAAAGCGTATAGCACATCATTGCTCTCTGAAACAATGCATCACTCTCTCTTAACCTGATTATTTTTTCTTCTCTGTTCCTAGATGTAAAATGAGTTTCCTTTGTAAATAACTTATTTTCAGCAGAACCAGAGGTTACCCCTCAGTTCTGTATCTCATAATGGGATCGTGTGAATACTGAAGGAGCACTATGGAGAACTGCGACCCAAGCTATGAACTCTGTATTGTGGTGAGCCACACACAGCCACTCCTTTTGTCTAGCATGAACATAGGGACCGTAGAGGTTGGTTTGGTATAGATATATATTGACTACAGTAAGTTCAAGCTCCTACAAACAGTTGTTCCAGCACTAGAGCTGGAGCTATTTGGCACTTTTCATCCACAGATGAAGGAGTACGTGCTCCTGTAAAGCCCCATTGAACCCTGTAAGCATGTGGTTAGGAACTTCGTACTGGTGGCCAACATGTTAAGAACAAAGAAACCAATTACATGATCAATAGGACATTCTGTTAAGCCACCTAGCAACCCGCTGTGCTTTTTCAACATCAGTACACAAAACACTTTCCACTCCAAGAACTGAGATTGCATGAGCTCTAGGAAGTAAGGGTGAAAGCACCTTTGAGTACAGAGGCTTTTAAAGTAGCTTCTGTCACTCACAAAGACTGCCAAAGACTAAAATATAGTCAGAGAGAACACAAAGTATTTGCAGGTATCAAATGTTCTGCAAAGAATCTGCACCAACTTTTGTGTTCAGGCAATCTTCTGGTTTTATTAAATATGGCTGAAAAACATGTAGCAATAGAAGGAAATACAACAGTGAAGCCTTAAAATGCTGCACAAAATGAAACAGGACAGAACTGAGTATTAACTTCTACCTAATTCAGTCTGGCAAATCCCAGGGATGAAGCTAATATGAAACAAAACATGAGAGTGACTTTGGGATTTAATATTTGTTTTCATTTTTTCCTGACCATATTTACACCAGTATCACTGCTTATAATGCATAGATTACTTTCCACACCTGATCACAGATACAAATACTCAGAATGTGAATTTAGAAGAGGTAATTACCTGTTTTGCCCATATTTTTATTTATTATTTCAGCACTTTTTCAGAATAGAAACCTGCTGCTCTTAAGAAGGGGTACGCATCTTCTGTCTTATACAGGCAAAGTTAGTTCTGATTCATAATCGCAATCACAGAGCTGATCCCAACACTGACACAGCAGGTGGGTGTGAGTTGAGCTTTAATTTAGAGATTGAACAAGACCGCCCCTTTCCAGTCACAGGCAGTCAGGGAAAAAAACTCCATCATCCATGGAAGCTGAGAAAGCCAGCACCATTCAGAAGCCTTAGAGTATCAGAGATGAAATCAAACAAAATGTGGAAAGTGACTGAAGCAGAGAGAATTAACACCTTCTCTGTAGTGTATAGAAAGAAGCAGTTAGAGGCTACAGATGTTTTTTTTTTTTTAAACCCACCGAGTAATTCCTACTACTGCTGATACAGCAGAAAATAGCCAATTTTAGTTTAAACATAAAAAAAATCCTTATTTGTAAGCTAACAAAGCTTAACCAAAGACAAGTGATAGGTTTTATAATGCACTGAACTGTTCTTAAAACTTAACCAATATATTTCCTGAGAAAACAAAGCCAAGTTTACAAACATCACATCTTCTCTTTTATGATGGTGCTGATGAGTTTACTTTGTACTTCATTGATGTGAAAAAAGCATGTGCAAGGTCTGTAATTCCAGACTACTGGTTTGGAACGCAAAGTTAATCTGCTTTAAAAATCAAGAAACATAAGTAAAGGCTCAACAACAATTGTTTCTCTTGACTACTGAAGTATTTGTGTCTCAGCATTCCACAAGCCCGTTAGGGTCCCTTATGAAAAAGCTTAATAGCAAAAAATAAAAATTTATCAAAACATACTATCAAGATAAGAATCTTTTACACAGAAAATAACCAGAGTACACAGAAGCAGCTCTTCCTTCAGCATGAGGAGAGGGCAAACACCCACTAAGATTTCTGAATTCCTAGAGGATAAAATTTAAGAACACTGTCCACAAAATTACACAGTAAAAAAAAAGGGGGGGGGGCAGCAAAGAGTTAGATTTTTCTTTTATTTAGAATAAGCATAGGATTTCTCAGAACATTGCTTGAAATTCCACAAGGAAACTGGAGAAGAACTCAGAAGTGAATCTCAAAGGACTGTTCCCTGGCTAGTTTATACAGCTACTTAGCTGCTGCCAGTATTTAAAGATAGTTAATTATTTATACTAATGAGAAAATAATTTCAATCATTATTTGCAGCTGTTTCATGCTTCTCCTCATTAAAAACACTGAGCAGCTGTGTGCCCTCTGAAAAAAAACATAACAGGAGAAAAGTTTAAGAGAAGATGACTGAAAGTGGTTATGGCATAAACACTGATAAACGTGGGACTACCTTATTTCTATTTTAGAATTTTTGATTAGTGAAAATTGAGAAGTCACTTCACTCTGATTCAGAAAGCAAGCCAGCATCTCCTGCAGATGCTGAATTTCAGTAATTTCTACTAGATAGCATTCTCTTCATTCCATAATGAACTATCTAATGCCAAAGAAGATCCAGGTTTCCCATTCAACACCCGTCATGATTACAATTTTCAAATTTTGTTGTAAAACACTTCAGACACCTCAAAGACGACCAAATAAACAAAATCTTTCCGATGCAGCAGTCCAGAACAAATCCACATGCTATACCCCTTGCATTTAAAAACAAAACCATAAAAAAAAAAACCCCACCAAAATCACACAGATGCAATCTAGTATTTTTTTTTTCCTTCCAGTACAGTTCACAGTAGTTCTGGTTCCTACCACTTGACCGGGCTTTGCACTAGTGATTGTTCTGTCTTCACGTAAGTGTCGTACAGTTCTCTCAAGTGCAGCAACAGCTCCTCTAGGTTGTCTCCTGTCAACGCAGACAATGCAATGACCCGGTGATCTATCTGTTCTTTAAGGAGTGGCAGATTGATCCTGGACTGAGCAAGGTCAATCTTATTCCCGATGACAGCACAGGGCCTCTCAGACAATCCTTTTTTATATTGCTCCAGTTCATATTTTAAGTCTTGCAGCTGAATCCATGGCTGAGACACAGAGAGATCCACCACATACAAGAGAAAGCGGCAGCGTTCAATATGCCTCAGGAAGGCCACCCCGAGGCCCCTGTTTTGATGAGCACCTTTTATTAGGCCAGGAATGTCAGCAACTAAAAGGAAAGAAATTTCACAGTGAATCCAACATATCCAACAAAATAAACCAAAAATCAACCCTAAGCCTTTTACTGGCCAGTGCAAGTACTTTTAGAATTACATCTCAATGCATCAATATTAAAGCATACCTCATGTTAAGTTTGGCTGCTATTATCTTTTAAAACCCCTAAATTTAGATCATTCCAGTGAAGACAGAATACGGATTGCTAGTTTGATATTAGGGGCATATATAAGTGAATGTGAAATGGGCTTTCAGTATTGTTTGAAGTTCTTTAGAACTAGCAAGAATTCTACAGAACTGCTAAACTTGCTTCTGCAGCATTTCAAAGAATAACCCAGGTAACACAAATTCCCATCAAGGTACACACTACATACTACAAATCGTACCTGCTACTTGTTCATAGTCTTGATAGTGGACAATGCCGACATGGGGGTTCAGAGTTGTGAAAGGGTAGGCAGCTACTGCTGGCCTGGCCCTGGAGATTGCTCTCAAAAGCGATGATTTGCCAGCGTTGGGAAAGCCCACCTGGAATACAAACACCCATTAAAGCCACAGTTTTAGGTTAATCCCAATTTAAAAAAAAACAAACCTGTAAGCTTTTGCAGATGTGGTAAACAACTTCTAGCATGCTTCCCGCTTTACTCATATGTGTATTTTCTCATAAACGTTAAATAGATAGATAAATAGAAGGATCCCCTTAACTTTTTTTGTGCCATCTTAAGTATTTACTTTGTTCAGAGCCAAAAGGGTACACACCGTAAGAACTCTTTTATGCTGAAACAATGTTCCGATACTTTGTCCTACACTTCCCATTTTATCTGTGTTTTCTAACTCTGATTTATTATTTTCCAAAAGAATTCAGAATTGGTTTTGTTCCTGATTCAGTAACATAGTTTGGCTTGTAAGTAACCAGAATGCCCACAAGTTTGGGATTTTACAGCTCTTTGTAGTCACACCACCAAAGAATCAAATTGAAACTTGGCCTTCTGGGGAGAAGACAAGAATTTAAACAAACCTATCCCAGAAATGAAGTTACTCAGGGATATCCTATAGTTGACATATGATAGCTACATAGATGGCATAGATGGTCAATGATCCCCCTGACAGCAGGTCAAATCCTAATTTCTACTTTTTGCTGATGTCAGACACTCCGAATTCTTGAGGAAATGAAGTACAGAACAGATTCATCTCAGATTTCCAAATTAGTGCCAAAATGCGAGAAGTGGACCAGAGCATCCAGCTGGTCAGAGAATTAAGTGTATTGATCCACCAATGCCAATACTTTTCTTAATCTCTAAATAAATTCACAAAATTCTGCTAGACCAGACAGTTATTCCACAGTTGTTGAACTACAGCAAGAACTCTTTGCCGCAAAGCATAATTTTAACTGCTTTACCAGCTGGTGTTAAAACATTTCCATGCTTAAAAATGAAGACAGCTTAAGCCCTAAATTGACTTAACATTCATGTCTAAATAGTATTTTCATTTCAGAGGATGCTAAACCTGAAACTAACAAAGTCAAATGTTTAATATCTCTAAAAAGAGAAATATAAGGATTAAATAGATGATTTGAACTTTATCAATTTTCTTTTTTTTTTTAAACCAAGAAAACAGAAATTAATTCAGAAGAACTCTCCATACTCTACTGTTCATCTGCAGAACCAGCAGACAAAACCTGCTGTACATCATCAGTAAGTCTTATCACTGATGAATCTTGCACATTGCTTTTCTATATATAGTTTTGATTTTAGCGAAAGTAGGATTACATCAAGTACGAAGAGAGCGACAGCTCTGCAAATTACTTCGGACACCCTTACCAAGTAACAGCAAAAAAGCATCAAGTTGCATCTCTAAACAAGCAAGCCAAAAGGCTAACAAAAATGTTATCAAACGTTATTTCTTCAGTCAGTCAACTGTCATCCTACAACCATAAGGAAGTTGAAGAATGACAGCAACACTCACCAATCCTGCATGAGCTGTTGTCTTGAGTTCCAGATGAAGGACTCTTTCCTGACCTGGCTCTCCTGGAGTAAATAATGTTGGAGCTCGGTTTTCATTGGAAAGAAAAAAGCGATTACCTTTCCCTCCAGCTCCTCCATAAGCTGCAACATACTCTTCACCATGTTGAGTGAGGTCAGCCACAACTTTCCCATCCTCCTTAACCAATGTACCTACAGGGACCTTAAAGTGGAGAGACATGCAAGCATTACACTGAAGCTCAAACCCTGCAGAAGAGCTGTCTGCAGCAGATCCTTTACCCGCTCATTTGAGATTTGTTGAAAATCATTCCTCCATATTCTCAAGCTAAGGAACACAGAAAGAGAAGTGCACTTCATGACACTCACTTTCTGGACGCAAATGACACTGTCAGACATTTACACTTTATTAAAATGTTAACAGTACCACAACCCTCTTTCTCTCCTTTTATGCAAAGAAGCCTAAGCACAGTAAGAAATATACTGTAGGTGTGCACCAAAACAGGCATGTTGAAAAAAAAAAAAAAAGTATGAAAGAAAAAAGTCTGCTCCTACTTAAGAACTTCTGTGTTGTGATTGCTCTGGGCATATGACCCCTAAAAGTAAAGCAAATCAGAAGCATATTTGTTTTGGCCAGATGAACCTTCCAAAGAAGCCTATGTTTTATAAACAATTAAAAGCAGCTTGATCTGTCTGAGTGCCAACCAGCCCTGTCTCAGCAGAGACAGCACACAAGGCTCCCTGAAAACACACACGCGATTTTCTCACAATAAGGTCATCCAGCTTGAAAATCAGCAATGTTAATACAAAGCTAACACACTAACATGCAACTTTAATTTACCTACTTTAACATACACGTATGCACCATTAGCGCCATAACAGTTTTTGCTTCCTCCTCTCTCTCCATGAAAACCCTGATAGAACGGGAGGACTGAAGAAAGTGATTTCATTTGCCGGTCAGCTGTAAAGCAAAATATGTACATTTTAAACACATTGTTTTAGTAGAACAGGCACAGAAGAGCAACCTCTTGACTGTTCTTTCTCTTTTTGATATTGTATGAATGCATATCCTATTTACTGTCTCAACAATAACATATCAGGGAAGACTAATAATAATGTAAGTTATGATGAAGCTTAGCTGCCTTTACTTATCTGCTTAGGTTTATTAACCATGCACTTCATTAAGTGGTCATTCCAAAACCAACCATTACAAAATACTCTGGAAAATTAATTTGCTAGATTAGAAGATTTTGCAGCCAGGTGGTGGCAGAAGCAGCTTACCCATCTTAAGAGTAAAATCTGATCACATCCCAGCCTTGTCGTAACATAGTCAGGCACCAGCCACTAAAATGTGTGCAAAATATCTTGATTTTCAAAATGCTTTCTAAGGTTGTCAGTGTCATTTATGTCCCTGTTACCACAGCTCAGGACAAAGCTTAAAAAGCAATGACATCTTATACAGAAATAGCCATTTTAACATTTTTGACATTTACATTTACCATCTCCCACCGTACACGTAGGGCTGTTTTTACTGGGGGGGGTAGGATGTTAAGCAATAAGACAACATGAAACAAAATAGATTTAGTGAGTTTTACCTTTCAAAATGACATGACCCCCATCACCTCCATTTCCTCCATCAGGACCTCCAAATATTTTTCTGGGTTCACTATAAAAAGAATGACCCCCTCCTCCTCCTTGTCCTCCAACCACACGCACTTTCCGGTGATCCACAAAATAGCGCGTCTGTAACAAGGATGGATTTTGTACCCTTTAAGTACAGTTTATTGGTCATCCTCCAACAAGTTGATTGTTCTGCAAAACTTAGAAATATGCAGACCTGCTATGTCACGATGAGTCCCATTCAACGGCAAAAAAATAATAAAGAAATCGGAACTCTGCTGTCATTCACAGATCAACTAAATACAGCATACTAAGTATAATACTAAAGAAAAATAGATCTCATTTTTCAAGTATTTTTTAAGAACCCCCTTAAAAGTACAAGCCTGAGGGTATGTTGATATAACCTAATGCAGCAGCTCAGATACCAATAGTGCAAAATTCACGCTCAGGCAACTAGTAACAGGAAAAGTATCCTTTTAATAGTTATATAATGCTGACAGGTAGCTCAAGAGAGCTACCACACTATAAGCCAAAATCACTCAGAAACTGTGTTCATGCTCATGAACTTTTTACTTCTTTAAATCAAACTGAAATTTGCAGAAAAGATAAAGTGCATGTGTGGGAGGGATATTCTCGTACTGATTCATGCTTTGATGAAGTTAAGGGAAACTTCAATCCTCTAACAATTAAGTACTAAAGACAAAGAATAGAAAGTACCTGCAAACATAATAAGCTGAGGAAATCTTAATATATGCCAAAACCAGTTGCTCAAAGGCTAAGAAAAATACAGCATAAAGAGAATTCCAGATCTTGGGTCTATTTCTGACATTAACTTAATATTTGATTTCTCACAAACTACTTATACTGTACTACGTTTCAGCTTTTTTTTGTCAGCAAAATAGGTTTTATGATATTTACCTATCTCTAGGACGTGGGCTGAAATCCCCAAGGGAGAATATTAGACAAATACATTCATACAAGTAGGTGAAATTGTTTACGTATCAGGATGAAAAGAGAAAGCATAACCTTGACTGGGGTAACATTCAAATTCTGCAAATTACTAAGGGTCTTCATAATGAGAATGAGCAATAAGGGTCATTTTAATTAAATAGCCCAAAGAGTCTTATTAGTGTTATGATACCAAGATGAGCTACTGAAAAAAACCCCACCCTAACTCTTGATAATTAAAGATATACTATGACCAGTGATTTCTTAAAAAGCGTCTTTTAGAAAAGTATTTGGCACCACCACACGGTGAGACAGGAAATTATTGCTTTAAATGGGAAGTGATTAATTGGTGATTGGAAAATGACATTTTCCACAGATGCATAATTAAAAAAGGAATATTAAGAAGAAGTTCGAGGACCCTGCAGTCTCTCTGACATAAACCCTGTCTGTTAGGCAGCTGCCTACTACGTAAGACTATAAAACCAGTGAGAAGCAAAACAGTATTTAAAGCTATGTAGGACCTTTTGCTCTCTCGACCTATGCATGCTTTCAGCCCAGGAGGAACGCTTACCGCTACTACAACCCCTCTGAACATCGATAATGCTACATAGCAGACTCGTTTCCTCACTACTTATAAAGTTAATCAGATTTTAGGAAGACAGTCCCTCACATCAAGGGCAGATATTTGACCACCGTGAGGAGAGACGGGCAAGGAGCATTTCTAACGGATGCCTGGGAGGTGAGCACCCAGTGAGGGAACCGCCTTACAAACTAACAGCTGACTTACTCCACAGCTTACCAGTTGCCTTTCCGAAATGACTCTTTTTTGCCTCAGCCGCCTGTTCTTTGAGCACCTCACGCAGGTTGTGGAGAAAGGCAGCTG